TGACTCAAAACTTAAGAAAATTTAAGAAAAAGTAAATCCAACTAGAAACATAGCCTTTATTGCCTTCTTTCTCTTTCCTATTGTGTTTCCTTCACTGCCCTTGTGCACCCTGGAATCACCTCCCAAATAAACCACTTGCACTTACGTCTTGCAGCAGGATAATCCAATTTAAAACAAATTGTAATTTCTTTAGCATTTCATCAAATAAGATATGAAACACATAGCAAAACATTATCCAAGACTATATTTGATAATAGAGTTGAATATAACATTCTCACTATTATATTGTTTGATATTTTTCTCCAAGTCATAAGTAACAATCCAATGATTAAACACCTCTTCAAGCATACCATAAAATAATGAACATAATAATAAGCACACCATTTGAATACATAATCGAATCTTGTTTATCTGGATTATATATTCTAAATTTCAGGTTTCCTACAAAACCCTTTTCTGGTATCATGGCGTTTTGTCACATCTTGTACTGTACTTTGATATAATTTTTATACTTGTCCCCTCCAAATCTCATTTTAAAATTTAATCCCCAATATTATGATGGAGCTTGGTGTAATTTTTTGCATCATGGGTAAAAGGATCTCTCATAGATGGCTTGATGCCATTCTTGCATGGTTGAGTGAGTTCTCACTCTTAGTTCCCATGAACTCTGGATACAAGAGAATTGGCATCTCCCTCTTCTCTTTCTCTTTTCCCATGTGATACCTGTTCCCCTTTTTCTTCCTATGAGGATGGAAGATACCTAAAGCCTTCACCAGAAGTGGATGTTGCTATGCTTATAGTACAGCCTGGAGAAAGAAGTGTGATAAACATTTAATTTTTTTATTTTTAGTAAATTACAATTTACCAAATATTTTATTTTTAGTAAATTACCTTGTTTCAGGTATCCCTTCATAGCAACATAAATGGACTAAGTAACAATCCCAATAAAAAGTCATTTCCAATTATGTTCTCCTATGTCCCCTTGTGCTTCAGAGATTTTCCTGCATAGAGTGAACATATCATACTTTTAGTCAATGAGAGAGAAATGCCAAGGGAGAATGGCCTTTTCTAAATTTAAATTAATGGTTTTCAATAAAATTTCCTGTGATCTATCAGATTCACATTTATTCTTTGTTGAGGTTTGGAATGTGGTTTGATACCTGAAGATGGAGCAGTCAACTTGAGTAAGTGTGAACACGCTAATTGTAAGACAATATCAGAGAGGGTAAATGCAAACAAATTAGTACCCCATAAAGTTCTTGCACTGTTTTATCAGTCCTGGACTGGTACCTATTCATCATGTACAAAACACAAAATACACACATTTTATTCAGATACCATACAAAAGTCTTTCCTTCATACAGCTGAATAGAAATTAATACCTACAGAAGAAAAGGTATTATTATATTTAAATTGTACCAACTTTAAATGTGTGAACATAGCCTGAAACCCAACTTTGTTGTACTTATTTCCAATCCACTCTACTCTAGACAGGATGGGTGAAAAGATAATATAGGCTGTAAAAATCCTGGATAATTTTAGCCAGAAAACTAGGTGAAATGTTTTCAGTTAAAATGCTCAAACAACTGACTAGCCAACTGCATTGCCACCTTTCCCAGTGCCTCAAACAGAGCAATCGTATAACTAGACTGATGAACTGAGTTGAAATCAGGGTGGTCTCTTGCACCTGTGGATCCGCTTGCCTGTAAGATCACCTATCTCCAGTAGATCTACCTAAATTGGGGTAATACTTTATATTTAGGCCTTGGAAAATGGGGATTCTGTGTTTAACCACAGTACACACCATGCTGATTCTGCCCACCACAGTCTCCCACAGCCATCTTCATCTCCAAGATTTGTTCTGGCAACATAATATTTTAAAGCTGTACCCACAAAGTTTTATTCATCCACCACTCCACCTATTTTCAACAAAAACTAATCTTAAGTCTGAAAATCTGACTTCTAGCAGTATTTGGTCTGTACTACTGTCCAATAATTTTAAATTATATTGACAGAATCCCACTCCGCTGATAATGAAAAACTGACCATAGTACCAAAATGTCCATTCCACTGCATCACAGGTGTCCATAAGATAACAGAAACTGTAGCTACCCTGAGACTTCCAGTGATTAAAATGAGCTCATTTTCAATCTTCTCTTCACATTCTAAAAGTGTTTTGCATATTTCCTTTCAATAAATCTCATTAACCTCTCTGAGAAATGGATATTGATCATATTTTACCTGTCTCCACATCTGGGCTATTGGCACTACTTTCCTTTTATTTCAATGAAGTGGTCAGAATTTTGTGTTTAAAACCAATAAACACCATAAAATTATCCAGTTAAAACCAATTTATCATTGCATTATAAACATTTTAACCACTCCTCAGAACCAACAATGTCCTGTGTGAGATGTTATGAAGAGGTAAGAGAAGGGAGAAAGATGTAGTCACAACATAACACAGGCAAAGAAAAAGAAGGGGTATGGTGCATATGTACCTATGCATAAAATGAAGAACAAAACTGCAAATTGGAAAATGAAAAAAGCAGAATACTTTTCCCTAAATTCACAAAAAGTCAGTTGTGCAGCCTCAGAACAGGTGTCCTCTCTCCATATTTTGAATTGATGCTGGTGCTCCACTCTGGATATTTCATTCTCTTACCTATATCTATAAACTCACTCCAATAGGAACATTTTTCTTCTAACTTTGAAGCACCTATTACACACACAGCACTGTCCTGTGTTTGTTTCTTTCACATAAATTTCAAAATAAGTACACAGTTTATGAAACCTCCCAGTTTCCACTTGAAAAGTTCAGCCCAGTAAATCAATACATTTTATGTCACTTAAAATAAGAATAGAAACAATGACAAAAATGTTTGATATAAATGAAGTTTCATTATCCAATTAAATATGGAGAACATAAAATATATTAGTTAAATATAACAAAATATGTCACTGAAGAAAAATATTCAGGTCTTTTAAGTCATATCTGAGCACCATGAAATAATGTAACATTAGCATAATACATGTGTATATTACATTCAATGTAAATCGAAACAGAAAGCAAAGTTTTATGCATTTCTTTGGCCTGGAAAGACAGTATGTGCAAAAAAAAATGTGGAAAATTATATCAATAATTTCAAATTTAAAAAGTATGTTTTAAATTATATTCTCAGATAATCTTTATTATAACCATCATAGGCCAGGCACAGTGGCTCACACCTGTAATCCCAGTACTCTGGGAGGCTGAGGCAGAATTGCTTGGGCTCATGAGTTCAAGACCAGCCTGAACAAGAGTGAGACCGCTTTTCTACTAAAAATACAAAAATTAGCTGGGCGTGGTGGCATTCACCTGTAGTCCCAGCTACTTGGGAGGCTGAGGCAGGAGGATCACATGAGCCCAGGAATTTGAGGTTGCTGTGAGCTAGGCTGACACCATGGCACTCTAGCCCAGGCAACAGAGTGAGACCCTGTCTCAACACCCCCACCCCCCAAAAAACCCAAAACAACAACAACAAAATATCATATCTCAAATACAAAAAGCAGAAAAGAATACAAATAGTAACTATGAGAAACATTCTTCAAATTATAAGAATTTTAATTCCTTGAGAAAAGTAAAAAGGGATTACTATAAAAATCATTCCACTGTGCTACCCAAATAAAATATTATTTATATCTGTTAACTATAATCTTGGTTATGATGGGATTGTTTAAGAGAGATAAAAAGATAGCATTGCATTCATTATACATCAGTGTTAAAACATTGAAAAATTATTTTTATTAATTAAAACAAACTATTTTCAAACAATGCCTAAAAAATGCATTTGAAAATCCATTTATGATCATTGGTTAAAGTACAGTCACAAGAACTACAGAAACATTATTTTTCTTCTGACATATTAATGTTAAAGTTATTTCTCCATTTTTAAAGGAGTAGGGCTAATTATTTAGCAGAAGTTGACATGAAATATATATAACATTCCACACAGAAATTATCTTTGTTTTTCTCTGATATCAATGAAGATGCAATTACTGCTATTACATGAAATAGTATTTGAACTCTTCTAATATGTCTTCTATCACATCCAATAATACTCAAGTTTTTACTGCATTGTACTGTAAAGGCATCTCAATATATTAACTGACTGATCAGATTTTACTACTTGGAGAGCAATTGGTAAAATGATCTATTCAGAAAATTCAGAATGTTTCTTTCTTTGATATAGAAAAATAAAACTCTTGATATGTACCATAGGCGTGCATGCATCGCTATTTTATTATATAATTCAAACACAAAGAGTACATTTCTTTAGATTTTCTTCATGTATTTTTATATTTCTCAATATCCATCTATGACAAAATTGATATTAATGCTGTACACTTAATATAGAATGGTGTCCAGTAGTTCTGATGCATATTTTCATATAAACACAAGAGATTAAGGCATAGCATCAACTGATTTGAGGGCTATGTGACATCAATAATACCTGCTTTTCAAACAACTCAAATACTTTCAATACAAATAAGGTATTGACTGACTATAATTATGCCTGTCCAAATATCAATATTCTTGCTCCTTTGAAACATATGAATCAATTATGTCATTGCTTTGACTTTGGATTATTTTCTATAATAAACACTCTCGTTTCATAAGTTTTGAAGTGTCTGTCTTAGTCCTTTTTTCTGTGAATCTATTGATATAATTAGATGAATTTTAATTAAAGATTTCCCTTATTACATCAAACTCCTGGGCTCAAGGAATCCTTCTGCCTCAGCCTCCCCAGTAGCTGGGACTACAGGCATGTGCCACCATGCCCAGCTAATTTTTTCTATATACTTTTAGTTGGCAAATTAATTTCTTTCTATTTTTTTAGTATACGGGGTCTTGCTCTTGCTCAGGCTGGTCTTGAACTCCTAACCTTGAGCAATCCTCCTGCATTGGCCTCCCATAGTGCTAGGATTACAGGTGTGAGCCACCATGTGCGGCTTCAGTTTTATATTTTTGATAAAATGTTTTCCTCATTTATTACACCTATAGAGTTTTTCTACCATGAATTCTCTTATGTCGACTGAGATTTGAACTATGGTAAAAGGCTCTGCCACATTCTTCACATTTGTAATGTTTCTCTCTAGTATGAATGCTCTGATGCCGAATAAGACCTGAAGCCTGAGCATAAGACTGACTGCATGCTTTACATCTGTAAGGTTTTTCTCCAGTATGAATTCTTTGATGCTGAATAAGACTTGAAGAATGACTAAAGCATTTACTACATGCTTTACATTTGTAAGGTTTTTCTCCAGTATGAATTCTGTGGTGCTCAGTAAGATATGATTTATAGTAAAAGGATTTGCCACATTCTTTACATTTGTAAGGTTTCTCTTCAGTATGAATTTTCTGATGATAAATAAGACTTGCATGATGAATATAAGATTTGCTGCATACTTGACATTTGTAGGGTTTTTCTCCAGTATGAATTCTCTGGTGTGCAATAAGATATGAATTACAATGAAAGGTTTTGCCACATTCATTACATTTGTAGGGTTTCCCTCCAGTGTGAATTCTCTGATGCTGAATAAGACTTGAAGAACTAGTGTAAGATTTATTGCATGCTTTACATGTGTAAGGTCTCTCTCCAGTATGAATTCTCTGATGTTGAGTAAGATGCATACTAGAATTAAAAGTTTTACTGCATTCCTTGCATTTGTAGGGTTTCTGTCCAGTATGAATTCTCTGATGTTGAGTAAGATGTGAACCACGTTTAAAGGCTTTGCCACATTCATTACATTTGTACTGTTTCTCTTCAGTATGAATTCTCTCATGTTGAGTAAGATATGAACGACGTTTAAAGGCTTTGCCACATTCATCACATTTGTACTGTTTCTCTTCAGTATGAATTCTCCGATGTCGAGTAAGATGTGAACCACGTTTAAAGGCTTTGCCACATTCATTACATTTGCACTGTTTCTCTTCAGTATGAATTCTTTCATGTTGAATAAAATATGAACGACGTTTAAAGGCTTTGCCACATTCATCACATTTGTACTGTTTCTCTTCAGTATGAATTCTTTCATGTTGAATAAAATATGAATGACGTTTAAAGGTTTTGCCACATTCATCACATTTGTACTGTTTCTCTTCAGTATGAATTCTCTGATGTCGAGTAAGATGTGAACCACGTTTAAAGGCTTTGCCACACTCATTACATTTGTATTGCTTCCCTTCAGTACGAATTCTCTGACATTGACTAAGTTGTGAGATATGGTTACAAACTTTGAAATACTCATTACATTTGTAGATTTTCTCCTCAGTATGAATTGTCTCATATTGTTTTACACTTGCTGATTGACTAAAGACTTTCTCACATTTATTATATCTGTATGAATTTACTCCAACATGGATTCTTTGATGTTGATTATGAATTGATGAGAGAGTAAAAGCTTCTAAACATTTATTACATTCATGAGATTTCTCCTGAATTTGAATACACTGATGGAAAATAAGCTTTGAATATTGATGAAAGATTTTCTCACATTTGTTACATTTGTAATGGTTCTCTGGAAAATTACTTTTCTGATGCTTTCTAGGGCTAGAGAGTTGGCAGGTGTTCTCAGACTTATAGCATGAATAATTTTTATCTCTAATATAAATATCCTGGGAATAATTTAGGGTGGCACCGTGGCTAACAGACATTGAAGTTTTATTATGGGTGTAATGTCTTCTCCAATTATATATTCCCTGATATTGCTTAAGTAATGTTGAATGGGTAAAGACCTTCCTGTACTGATCAAAGTCGTAGATTTTGGCATATTTTTGGTGGAAGTATAATAAACTTTTAACAAATGACTCATCACATTGATCACATAGAGAAATATTCCCTTCATTTTTAAATCTCAGATCTTCAGAAATATTTGACTGAACATTTAACCCAATTCTACATTTTAATTGTTCCAAATCATTATTTTCAATATGGCCTAGGTCATTATTTAAATTTTCCAAATTTCCTTTCAGATAAAATTTATGTTTCAAAAGTTCATATTGATATTTATTTACAGAAATACGTGGTTCAGCAAAAGTAATGGACATACATTGATACTTTTTCAAAAATGTTTTGTATTTTTGACATTTCCTATCAGTGATGTTTTCATTATAGATAGTTGTCCTACATTTTTTGTGTCCATCATAATATATATTCTGCCCTTCAAACTCACCCACACTTTCCCAGTCTTTCTTTAAGTATATATTTTCAAGGCCACAAATCCCAAACACCTCTAATGTCATTGTTTGGAATGGAGCTTCTAAGCACTGCTTTTTCCACAGACCTTGGGTGTAAAGAGAAAATATACCTGAAAAAAATTAAAAAAAAAAAAATAATAATTCCAACTACTATATTTGGGTGAATACACTTTATAACAAAAGTAAGTAAAATATCAAGCTGAGAACATCATGTAGGTGGAATAAAAAATCTGAGACCTTTGTTTCTTCACTGATGTATGAACTTAACGCAAATATGCTAAAGAAAAATCAACTGAGTTTCAGGTACCCCCAGTGGGTACAAAGCCAACAAGAGACAAGTTAAGAAAAAGTTCTTTACATTTGTGTGCCACAGCAGACAGGAGTCAGAAAAGATAAATAAATAAGTTTTACATTCCTTGTTTCTCCCTCAGGAAACAAAGGAAAGCATGAAATGTGTCCTAAAATCTAAGTTTTTCTGGGGCTATCTCATATGGAGTGTTAAAGGGAATACAGATATAGTTCAAATTACAGGTTGGGTCCACTGAGAAAAAAGAAGAATGCTTTTACAGAAACACTGCACTACCAATGACATTTGCCAAGGGAAGCAAGAAATTAAATGCTTTCTAGAGAAAAGATAAACTGTTTTTTAACGAAAAAATAAACAGTAGTCCAGAGAAAGCACATATTACTAACAGGTTGAAGAAATACCTAGTGTGGTTGAATAGTGTGAGGTTTTCCCATATAAAGCCATTCCACAAAGGATAGGATATGTAGCTCTTTTTAAAATGACCAAACTCTCAACAAAAATCACAATGCATCAAAGAAACATGGCTGTTGTTCCACTGCATGGTAAGATGATGATGTATAGTATCTTAACAGTAACAAATTGTACATTAAAAATAGCTGCAAGAGGCCGGGCGCGGTGGCTCAAGCCTGTAATCCTAGCTCTCTGGGAGGCCGAGGTGGGCGCATTGCTCAAGGTCAGGAGTTCAAAACCAGCCTGAGCAAGAGCGAGACCCCGTCTCTACTATAAATAGAAAGAAAGTAATTGGCCAACTAATATAGAAAAAAAAATTAGCCGGGCATGGTGGCGCATGCCTGTAGTCCCAGCTACTCGGGAGGCTGAGGCAGGAGGATTGCTTGAGCCCAGGAGTTTGAGGTTGCTGTGAGCTAGGCTGACGCCATGGCACTCACTCTAGCCTGGGCAACAAACAGAGACTCTGTCTCAAAAAAAAAAAAAAAAAAAAAAAAAAAGCTGCAAGAGAGGCTTTTGAATATTTTTACTCAAAGAAATAATAAATGCATGAGGTAGTAGACACACTAAATGCTGATTTATTATACAACATACATATATAGAAACATCAAATTATACTCTATAAATATATATAATTATAATGCATCAATTTAAAAAATGGACTAAGACTAAAATATAAGACCTATATAATTGTAAAAATCCTTAAAAATATGTAAGAGGGAAACATCATGACAATTGGTCTCGGCAATAATTTCTTGGATATAGCCTCAAAAAATCAGGCAACAAAAACAAGAATATACACATTATACCACATCAGCGCATCCAAAATATTCCAAACATACTTAAACCAGAACAGAGTAGCTATTAGAATCCCCATGTACACTGCAGCATTATTCACAAAAGACAACACCTGGAGGCAACTCCAGTGTCCTTTTATGAATAAGTAGACAAAGAAAATGTGGCATATACTTATCATGGAATACTATTGTGCCTTAAAAAAGGACATCTTTACACACAATAGAGTACATAAGGATAAACCTTGAGGACATTATGTTAAATAAAATAAGAGACATTTAAAGAGACAAACACTGTATGAATATAGATATAAAATATCTGAAGCAGTCAAACACATAGAAACAAAGATAGAATAGTATTCTTTAGTACCTGGAGAGAGGTGGAAAGAACAATTTGTTGTTTAATGGGTGTTCACTTTTACTTTTGTTAGTTAAAAATGATACAGAAACCTGTTGAGAAATATGATTGAAGAATTAATGAAATGTAGCTCATAAGATCATTATTTTATTGTATAACCCAATATTGCTATATTAAAGACAGAAACAGGAGTTTGCAGGGTTTTGCCCTGAAGGAATGTGTGGACTCAATGGTTCACTTATTAGAGGCTGCTATCATGGGAGAACTCTCAAATCTCTGATAGGGATGTTTTCCAGGAAGGCTTCCCAGTATCTCAAAATCTGTGAGGTTCCCTGTGTCTTGAAAGATTAAGACAAGGCAAATATGGCCCACAGGATGGGAGCCGGAGATAATGAGTGCCCTTTGCCCAGAGATGCGCCCTGGTGGTTATAAACACCTGTTTATTAGGGATGGGCTTCCTACTCTGTCTGTCTACCTTTAGGTCCACCATAACTAATCAAAGAAATATTGAGTCACTATACCTGTTTTGTTTTACCTTTGTTAATTGACAACTACCTCTTAGAATTTAGAAGCTAGCCCCAAAAGACTTTGTACCTGTTTGTTCACCTAGATAGAAGCCCCTTAAAAGGACTTTTGACCCTAACCCACTACCTGTATCCCCTAGCAACTGCATTCCCTGAAATGCAAATATGTTACCCTGACAACTGTAATTGATGTCTGTGATTATAAAAACCTGTATGAATCTAACCATATGGCTGGCGTTTATGGAGATACGTCAGTCTCCTAGGTACTCCCCGCTGTGTTATATCTGATCTTTATATATATATAAAACTATAAACTATACCTTAGTCTCTGTGTATTCTCTTATTTCTCTCTGTTGCCTATCAATTTCCTTATCCTCTGTGGCGACCCCTATCTTAGGGACTTGGCTCTGTGGGGAGAAGTAGCTAATCTCCTTGTGGCCTGCCTCAACTACTCACGCCCCGCAACCAAAGAATGTGAATATACTTCTCACCATTAAAGCATGCACTTAAAAATGTTTGAGATACAATTTTATGTTTTTCACCACAATTAAAAATTTAAGACTATTTAAGAAAGACACAGTTTCAAAGTTTTCAAAAATTACCCTCAAATAACAAAGTGTTTCTCTCACATAATTTAGATTCAAATGATAATTAGATTATGAATTTAAGACTGTTTCTTTGACTGCTCACCTAGACAGGAAAAAATAATCATTGACAACACAGAAAAGAAATATCCAAGATAAGTCATGAACAACATAAGGAAAAATACTTATACAAGCAGAAAACACACAGATATTTTTATAGGCCACAGTTATATGCTAAATTTATATATAAATTGGACTTCACATGTCTGTAAGTACACAGAGTTGAAAATGATCATCCTAAGTATATCAATTAAAAAGCAAAAATAAAATTATTTGATCTAATAAAACGTACGTCAAAAAAAGAAACAGTAATATAAAATTGAAAGCCAAAATAAGAAAACTGTTATGCAAAAAATACTGAATACAACACAGATATTATTGAAAATAATTGTTTACATATCTACAATTTTCAATTGTGTGCATCTGTCAAGAGAAGCACTTTAATTATTGCCTTTCAGTGTATGGCAGTAAATTTCACATAATATGTATCATAATCATTAATAAAATGCTCCTATAAGACAATTCAAATAAACATTTAAAAACTCTAGAAAATATACCTCATTATTTTATCAATATATTGATGCTATTTTTACACAACATGTAATGAGTATAGCATAGTCTTCAGAAGCTAAGTAAAGTTTTATGTTTTTAAATAAAGGAACAACTTAAATGTTATGAAATACTGTAAGAATTGCTGAAAAAAATAAACATTTTGGATAAAATTATAGCATAATTTAGATGTAGGCTGAGAAAAATAGATAAAATTTTAATGATTCCTTATTACATCCAGTAAACTTAAACTTACATTCAAACTATTTTTTTTTTTTTTTTGAGACAGTGTCTTACTTTGTCGCCCGGGCTAGAGTGCCATGGCATCAGCCTAGCTCATAGCAACCTCAAACTCCTGGGCTCAAGCAATCCTGCTGCCTCAGCCTCCCGAGTAGATGGAACTACAGACATGCGCCACCATTCCCGGCTAATTTTTTCTATATATATTTTTAGTTTTCCAGATAATTTCTTTCTATTTTTAGTAGAGACAGGGTCTCGCTCTTGCTCAGGCTGGTCTTGAACTCCTGACCTCGAGCGATCCTCCTGTCTCGGCCTCCCAGAGTGCAAGGATTACAGGCGTGAGCCACTGCGTCCAGCCCATTTAAATAAATATGGTGCCTTCTAATAATCTAATTCAATTTTTCCATAACATATAAACTTAAGCATTTCATTTCAGAACTTTTGGATCTAAAAATCGGACAAGTTTGACATATATTTCAAAAAGTGAAACATACAGGAAAAGAACGTAAGCGAGATAACAGACTAGGAGGTCCCTTACTTGTAACCCTCATACTGTAATGTAGCATCCATGCCAAAACAACACTGCTTTTCTGAGAGCTTTAAGATTCAGGTCTCAGTTTGTGATGCCCTGGTGGAGTGGAGCCCAAGACCAAATAGGACCATTTAGAGAGGTTGCCCATGTGACAGGTGTGCTGAACATAGTCCCAGCTACAGAATAAAAAGTGGCCACATCCTACTGTAGCCCTAGCTATAGCCTATTTTGTCTTGGTGTTGCAATTAGCACCATCTGCCAAGATATCTAGAAGGATTCATACCCACATGTGTCTCAGGTGAGAGGCTGTGATGAACTTGGTCTTATTGATTGTCCCTGAATCAGCCTCTAACCCACCTTCCTGACATTTTATCCATGGTCTGAAAAAAAGCTTCACCCATACAGTAATCTTCAAGAAGTAGCATATATCTGTGACCCTAGATGTAGGACAACCAATTTGACCTAAAAGTGGGTCTTGAAACAACATTATAAACTGGCTGGCTCTAGCTGCATGCAGCCACACTTTCAGGAGCAGGTTGGCTAATCTGGAAGCTGTCTAGAAGCACATATATCTGTGTCCATAAAAGCAGGCTTGCAAACATTAGTCTTACTGTGAATCTTAAGCACCCTTGTAACTCAGCTCTCTTCTCTGTCAGTCAGAGTCTGGGAGCAGACCTATTCACCTAAAAACCTGGAGGGAAACATGCTATGAATG